CATCTGAGCGTGGCTTAGATTTGTCATCCCTGCCTATGCTTGCAGCCTTAGCCAGGGTAAAAGCAGCATCTCCCTCCTTATCTGGAAGGCTGAGGACATGTGTCAGCCAGCTGCAGGCACGACCCAGGCTCAGAGCATTCGCTGGCCAAACTGCGCACACGTCCCAAGGCAGAGGCTGAATTTCAACCTCCAAATATCTTTAAACAATGGGGAGAAACTGAGACCTAAAATAGGCCCTTTCCTGTTCTGGAAAAAAAAAGTCCCTAGTTTTCAAAGGTCTGCTAATATTTAAGTGGGAATTTATCTCCTTTCACGCCAGGTCTAGGTGCAGTTGTAGGTTCAGGGACTAGAGCTCTGCGGGTCAAATCACTTATCAACTCAATAATAATTTGTATCCCCCTGAAGGGATCAATCTTTAGGCACAGAGATGGAGCTGAGATTAATAAATTCGGAACAATGAGAAGCAAGAGTTTCTCCAAGATCTGCTAGTCCTGAGGGATGTTGGCTGGGCAATTGAAATCACCTGAGAACTGGCAGAGAGTGGTGGCTGTGGGGTCTTCCATATCCACCCTGGCATATCAGAGGGCGAAGAAACACACAAAGATGGTGAGGCAATTTCCTACCTGTGATATCTGCTATATGTGGCTTCTGGCATTGCTGCTCATCCTCCTGCAACATCCGAACCCTTCTCTGTCAGGAGAAAGAGCTGGAGAAGGCTTTGGTCTATCAGAGCCCAGAGGAGATCCAGCTGGTTGATACAGGAGCAGATAAGGATGGAGAGAGGGCTCTTGGTGCTTTCTCACTTGCAAAGCTTTCTGGAATAGTATCACAACCCTGGCACTTCTGGTATCTCTCGCTGTGAAAGTCAGACCAAAGGCTGAGTACATCTCATCTGCAAAGCCCCGTGAGGTCCAACAGCTCCTGCTGACAGCAGGTTGTGAAACAGCACGGGGAGTGCAGAAGCCACCATTGAGCAAGTGCTGCTAAAAAGACCTATGAAACAACGACTGGATGCTGCAAACAGACAGAACCAGAGCAGAAATAAAGGAGCACTTTGAGATTGAGTCTTTCTTATTGGAGAAAATCTGCCAGCTCTCCAGATGTCAATTCAGTTTGCCTACCCACAGTTGCCCCAAAGATACACCATTGGAATGGCCCCACAGACCAGATGAACATGGGGCCTTAGGACCTGCCACTCACCTCCCTCTACCTCCTTCATATGTTCCCTCTTCCCTCTATCCCACATCTGTACTTCCAGAGTCATCCCACCTCCCCCATTGTTGCTAAAATTAGTGTGGTCCCCCTGAGAACAGCAGTGACCAAAGCTGTGATGTAGACAAGGAATGACAGCCTCCAGTATGTCCTGCTGTGCCAGCCTAGATGTCCTGCCAGCAGAGTGAGATGAAATACCAGCCTGGGAGCCCTGCTGCGTGTTCTCACCTCAGTGCAGACAATGTACAGCGTGCACAAGTCAGCACAGCTAATGCTACTCCTACAGGGAACAGCAGAGAACATCAACTCAGAAAATGGATGACAATCATGCCGAGGCCAGGCAGGATCTCCTGGAGGGCTGTGGGGTGACACCAGTACAGCCAAGGACTCCTGGTGGCCCCCATCACTCCCTGAGCCCAGCTTGGATGGCATGAGGTTTGCGTGGGAGCTGAGCACACCTGCCCACGCCACCAGCCCAGGGGCAGGAGGTGTTGGAAGGTGACTGCTCCAGGTAAAGCCCAGAACTACCCACTGAGCATGGTGTGGAAGGTCCAGTGGCCAGTGTGCTCAGCACCACTTCAACACCTTCCTGCAATGCAGACATCCTGCCCTTGGCCATGCGTCTGTGAGCCTGGAGCAGGACAGCTGGTGGCCAACAGGACACACAGGTCACCACGAGCAGGGGACAGCCCATGGCACAGCTCCAGCCCAGGGCCAGGGGAGAGCTGGGCCTATAGCCCCTGTGTCTGCTCACTGGTACAGCCAGCAGGAAAGAAAGGCAACAAAAAACCACCAGGGCCACAAAGTCAGGGCACACTCCAGCACACAAGCCCACCTCCCTGCGGAGCACCAAGACCTGTCCCACCCCTCTGGCAAACACACCCAGCCCATTCCTCCCTCCAGGAGCTACAACAGGGAATTCTGCCACTGACTTCAGCACAAACTAATTCAGCCCACCACCAAAATAACCAACTCAGCGGCATTTATTTCAGTTATTTCAGCACAGGCTGGTGTGTGGGTGTTCCTGAGGCAGAACAAGAAAGCCTTATTCCAGCACAGCCATGGAGCTCAGCACAAACCACTCCAGTGCACAACTGCCCGGATGGAGCTGTAAGTGGGCAATGCAAACACAGCAGCTAATTCCTGCTCCCTGAGCTGAGTGAGCCCTTAGCACGCTCAAGCTTAAAGGTTTCTGGTTATATCATATTTTCTTCCCTTTCCTTGTCGTGGTCACAGGAAGGTTTGGTGTCTATGTGCCACTAGCGAGGATTAATTCAGCGTGTTCCATGTCATGGACTGTGGGTGGCCCAGGGAAGGCGACCTGCTCAATCCTGCTAACGATGGAGAAAGGATCTGACTGCTCCTGGGGGAAACCCATAGCATTGCTCCTTTTTTTCCTAGCATTTTTCTTCATTATTAGAGAAAAACCAAATGACACCAGACGACTAGAACTCCAAATAACCCCCAGGCAGCCATCACTTTAAAGATGACATTTTCAATTGCAAATTGTTTACCTATTATTGTAACTTGTAACTTCTAAAATTCAAGTAATTGGCCTCAGTTTGTTTTCCTTTGGGATAAAAAATGAAGCAATCTTTAGCTTGCTTCTTTTCTGTATATGGTAATGACCTTTCCTCTGCTAGTGTGAGTTTCTCACTGATCTGAAGAGGAAAGGAAAAATTGTAAGCAGAAAAATAATAAAGGAAAGAAATGGCACAAAAATGAAGGCTGGACCCAGGGAGACAATTGCGTGGCTAGAAAACAAGCTGATGTTAGAGAATATTGCTTTTACTCACCTCTTTTTTGGATCTAAAGGGGTAAATCTGCAGAGGGCATCCACAAATGCATTCCCAGTGAGTGATAAACATTACTTGGTTCCAGCAGTTGGAGATCCCTAGCCCAGACCTATCACCATCTATGGGAACTTTCAAAAATCACACTTGCCCCACATAAAGAATAGATTTGCAGGGTATTGCACTTCCCAAAGCCTCAGCTGGCCAGCATGTCTCAAGGTAGCATTCCAGACCGAAATTCCCTCCAGTGCCTCCTGAGACATCACCATCATTACCATCACCTGGTTTGCTCTGACCTCGCAGCAACTCTGTGTGAAACTGGGTTGAGATCAGGTAAGCAATTAAAGTCAACTAAGCAGAGAAAGTTCTGCTGACTCAGACAAGCAGAATCTCTTTTTTGTAAACCCGAGCCCTGGAAAGAGACATGTTTTCCAGTCAGATGCTAGAAAGCGTACCCAGTGTAAAACACAATCATCTATTCATTAGCACCCCTGGAGATCAAAGCTGATTCAGTGCTGCACTTTTAACTGAGCAGTCCCAACACTTAAATAAGATGCATAAATCATTTCCTTAAGAAAAGAAAAACTTACTAAGGAATACAATACTCATTATGGTCTTCTGGGACTTCTGAATTCATCTGACAAGCTTCACATGCTTGTCTAGAAAGAACAAATGCTCGCTGAAACCCAACTCCTTTTCAATCTTACTCAGCCAACAAGTTATGCCTTTCTTATTTTTAGGAAAAAATACACATTAAAGTAATGGAACAGCCCCTATAAAAGGAAAATCACATTTCATTTAGTCTACACTGATAAAGTTCCATTAACGTCTCAGTCAAGTCAGTCTTCTGAATTTTAAGATGTAACTCTAAAGGCCCCATTGATGGATTGCTGCTGTGCTCAGAAAATATTAGTACATTGTTAAAACGGCAGGAATTACCCAATAACGTCTCTTAGGAAAGAGGAACTAATTTCCCCAAAGGAACAGAAAAAGGCAGGGAAATAAATTATCCCCCCAGCATAAAACGGTTCAGATTTTAGTTCAGAATTGTTTCCCAACTCCAAAGAAACTTCTAAGAGCGCACACTAGAGAAGTCCCTTAAGCCATTCAAACAGATTCCCAGAGATGTTGGGGACCGCGGGCGTAAATCCGCACTTGTGGGACAGAGCAGCTCCCCTTTCCAGACCCGGGCACAGCCTGGGCAGGGAGCACGGAGCCGAGCACAGCTCCGGGATCCACAGAGCTGGACACGGCTTCGTGCCCCGCGGGGACAGCGGGCAGGACAGCGACACAGAGAAGGGCTCTGCAGAAAGGAAACACGGGGACCCCGAACAGGACAGTGACAGGGAGAAGGACTCTGCAGAAAGGAGACACGGGGACCCCGAACAGGACAGTGACAGGGAGAAGGACTCTGCAGAAAGGAGAAATGGGGACCCCGAACAGGACAGTGACAGGGAGAAGGACTCTGCAGAAAGGAGAAATGGGGACCCCGAACAGGACAGTGACAGGGAGAAGGGCTCTGCAGAAAGGAGAAATGGGGACCCCGAACAGGACAGTGNGAGAAGGGCTCTGCAGAAAGGAGAAATGGGGACCCCGAACAGGACAGTGACAGAGAGAAGGGCTCTGCAGAAAGGAGACACGGGACACCGACAGGACAGTGACCCCAAAGAAGGTGTCTGTAGAAAGGAGACACCCAACAGGACAGCGACAGAGAAAATGTTTCTGTAGAAAGCAGGCTCGGGTGTCACAGCGGAGCACTGCCGGGACGGCAGCGCCGCTCACCCCGCGGGCGAGCGCAGCGAAGAACTTCAATGGGCTCAGCCGAGGGATGTGCGACCGGCGAGCCACCGGCGGACCCAGCTTCAGCTCTCCGGGGACCGCCCGACACCCGAGGGGCTCCCGGAGCGAGGAAGGGGCTGCCCGCCGTGCCCCGCTGCCCTCTCCGCCCGCCCGCCACCGCGACCACCGGGAGACCCTCCGAGAGCTCGGACCCACCTGGGCTGAGGCTGCTCTGGAAGTAGAAGAGGACGAGCAGGAGCGAGCCGAGGCCGGCGGCCAGCGCCAGGCGCGGTGCCCGGCTCCGCCGCATCCTCGGCGGCGGCTGGCAGCGCAGCGCAGCGCCCGCGGCCCCGGCCCGGCCCCAGCCCGGCCCCGGCCCCGGCCCCGGCCCCGGCCCCGGCCCCGGCCCCGGCCCCGGCCCCGGCCCCGGCCCCGGCCCCGGCCCCGGCCCCGGCCCCGGCTCGCCGAGCCCCGCCGAGCCCCGCCGAGCCCCGCCGGGCGCCGCCGCCCCGCCCCGCGCCCGCGGCCCCGCGCCCGCCCGCAGGAAGTGACACGGGGCGGCTCAGCCGCCGCCACGGGAACTTCGCCCCCCGAGAGCCCCGCGGCGCCGGCGGCGGCTCGGCCCGGCCAGCCCCGGCTCGGCCCGGCCAGCCCCGGCTCGGGGCAGGGCAGTTTCCTCGCCCGGTGCCGTGTCCGCGCCCTGCCGGCGCTCGGGAGTGCGCCCGTCCCTGCCCAGATCCCGTCACGGCTTTAGGACTCCCCCAGGGGAAAAGGGAGTCGCTGATGTGGTGGCAGGATCGGGAGTTTCCTGATGACTTTGCTCTGCGCGGTCTATACTTAGGAACCATCACAAAGTTTCGTGGCCTTAAAATACACGTGGCCTTAAAATACACCTCTTCCTTTTTTTAATATTCTTTTGACTACCCCCGGCCCTGCAGTTTTTTTACTGAAAGCACTAGTGCTTCTGACTAATTCCACCTCAAGCAATGAATTTCTGTGGAAGGAGGACATGATTTTCTATTACTCTCGGCATGCTTTTGGAAAGTGAGAGCACAAAGTTCTCTTACTGCATCGTCTATCCCCCAGGCTCCATAATCACAGGCAGAACCAGCCCAGAGCTTCTGTTGCCCCAGTTTTGAAATAGCAGCAATGCTTTTCACCCAGCTGTGTAAAACACTTGAGATCTACTCAAAGGCCACCTGCCAAATTAGCCAGGCCAAGAGCTGGATTCCACTGACAGCACTCATTCACTGCTTCTCTTCAGCCCCAACACACTTTTTTGAAGAAAAAGAGGACAGCTCAAGGAGGAGCCACTGGGAATGACAAAGAGAGCATGAGTATGTGCACATGCTGGGTTTCATTCTGCCCTCATTTAGGGCAGAGGAAGCCAGAAGGAGAATCGCATTGTGAAGGAAGCTGGAATGAAATAAGAACACACGCAGCATCTTGCAGGCTGTGTTGGGCTATGACCATGAATTAAACAGCTCTTTGATGTCCCTGTTGGAGGCTCCGGAGAGGGGCAATAGAAACAAGACCACAACTGAGACACTAATATCCCTCCTTGCAAGGGCACAGCAGTGTGTGCAGTAACAGCTGGAAGAGCCTGGGCAGCACAGCCCTGTGCCTGTTTGATATGTGCAGGGAGGGACTGTGACCCCAGGCCCCGGGGAGCAAGAGATAGTGCTGGCAATGCTCTGCACATACAGCCTGCTCTCTGTTGCAAATGGTGCAGCAATTTTGGCCCCTTGATGAATGTAGAAAGACTTGGGGTCTGCCTCATATGTAAAAATGGGCTGATAGACCTAAGGGTAGCAGAAGGGATGTCTGGTACTGCTGTCCTTGGCGCCAGAGAGTTCAGTGACTGAAGGCATATGCAGCCTGTGCAGTGGGAACCCCCTTGGAGTTGCTTTTCGGGAGCTGGAAGGAGTAGTCAAGACAGTTGGTGAATTTTTCATTATTTGTATCTCCCAGTACTGAAACACCAGAAAATCTAGCTCAAGACTCCCAGAGGAGCTAGGAAAAATAATCATTGCTTTAGCTCAGCTTCTCTGGGTTCAGCAGGAGGAATAAACTTCACCCATAGTTGGGAATTCCCTTTAAAGAAAATGCAGTGAAACGTCCCGGTAGAAACTCAGGCACTGAGCAGGACCTGTTGAGTCCTGCTGCCTGCTGTCTGTATTTCAGCCCCGGGGGCAGGGCCAGGGCCATCTGTGAGCACATCACATATGCAGGGCTGATTTCAGCAGCCCGAGGTGAACGTGCAGCTCAGATCCACGATGCTAGAAACAGAAGCACACCATGAGGATTTCATAGGATTCCTATGTGGACTCAGCTGCACATGCTGCCTTTTTCAAATGACAAATCCCTTTTAGAAGGAGAAAACCCCTTTTGGAAGGATAAACCCATTTTACAAGGGGAAGAGGTACGTTATGGTAACAGCTGACTGCTGGCAATGGCACCAGCTGCTGGGAGGTCAGGCCTTTGCTGTTGCCTATCCTGAGTGTGTGACAGACCTCTTGGTCACACATGCTGCTCCCTTGTCCATCCCCCTTCCTTTGCAGCCCCTCCATGCAGAAAAGAGCAACCCCAGCCCATTAAGGTAGACAACAGTGACCAGTGCTTGCTTGAGAAGGTCACCACAGATGTATAGAGGGGCACAAGATGAAGCTATCAGAGTCTCAGATTATGATCCCAAGCCTATTTCTAATGGAATCATCAGATTCAGTCTGCTTTGGAGAAGCCCTTCTCTCCCTCCTCAGGCACCACTGGTGGCTGGAGAACAGCAGATACACAAAGCACAAATGAAAATACAACTGCTCAGCAGCACACGTGAAATCAATGTGGCAAGCACTGCTCCCTGGTGTCTTAATCTGTTGCTTTTCCAGGTTAATTGGAAGAACTAAGAAATGAGTATTTGCTGTAGAATGGCAATGGCTCCTTCCCTGACAGGCTGTGAACTCTTGGTGGAAGGGCCACCCTGTTCCCTGTCTGCACAGTGCCTCCCACCGTGTGGTTCAGGCTGGAGCTATTTATGACTGTTAATACTGGTAACCAAAAATAATGATCAAAAGGTGCTAAAAACATGCAGCAGAGGGAAATTATTTTTTACTGCCAAGGTCTGAACTACAGCTGACTTGTAGGTGAAGAGGAAGTGCTGTTTGCCTGCAGAATGATGCTGAGCCTTTGATTCAGTGCATGCTTGATTCTCTCCCTGCTCATTAGTAGTGCTCGTTACTGTCTTCTCAGCAGGTTTCTGCTACATACTTTGCTTTTTCCCAGGACCTTGGTGCCACTGAATGAGATTAACCCCAAGCTTTGGTCTGATGACCATGTTGAATAGAAATTAAACAGCGTCTAGTTTCTGCTGGAAACTCAGGAATCTGTTGTACTCCTCCCGGAGGCCTGGTTGTCCAGCCCCTGTGAAAAAGAGCTTTTCTAGAGGATATTTTGACTTTGCACACAGTTGTTTGATTCTGCAGCTGCAGAAGCAGTTTTCCCTGGCCTCCTGCCGGTGAGACTCCCATCTGCTGGTGGCCGGGTGCACTGACAGTGCCACCACTGCCCCGGGTGTCACCGAGTGTCACTGAGTGTCACCTGCTTGGGCAGGGATGTGGGGAATGACACTGGGACAGCACAGGCTTTCCTCAGGGACCAGCAGCTGGGAGGTGCTCCAGGGATGACCATGGGTATCTCCTCTCTGTTTCCTAAGAACTGCATTAGATATCCCCTTGCCTTTGGGATTTCCTTGGATCCCTGTATATCTTGATACTCAATGCTGTGTTTTAAATTTTAAGGCATCACTGTAATGTGCTGGCTAAGAGGGACCTTGCAAAGCCTCAGCCTATCCCCTGCTTGGGCTTGTTCTGCAAGTTTCCCAAGATGGACAACTAAGATCTTGGCAAGCAATCCTTTCCAGATTTACAAACCTTCAAAAATTTTTCCTAACACCTTATCTGAACCATCCTTGTCAAAACAGGGACCCATGACATTTTGACTGGAAAGATAAGCAGAGCACCAGGTTCTGCTGAGAGCACCAGCTGGAATACTTGCTTTCTCAACTAGTGCATTAATTTTCCATCATTCCATTGCACCTATAGAATGTGACTTTTCAAATATTATTTCATAAATGCACTAGTGTTTATGCTCATTTTACACTGATATACAAGAGCCTTACTTCACAGCAGCAGAGAACCATACTGGGGTAGACTGTTCACCATTGAGTGCTGGACTAAATATTGGCAAGGTCAGTATTATAAAAGACACAGGTTGGATAAAAGGTAAAAAAGAATTAAATACCTCTGGAGAGGTAACTGGAGATTACTATTTACATAGAATATAACAAAATGCTGGGTGTATCTTTTTTAAATCTGCAGCCAGATTTTGCCACTTGTTCAAACAAAGTAGCACTGATGTATTGAGAAATCTCCTTGGTCTCAGAAGGACAGGGCAGGGAAACAACAGCAGCCAACCCCAAAGACATTCCACACCCTGAGCAATCCCACTGATTTGGTGGGTATGAGAATGTACATTGCCTAAAGTTAATCAAATTCTTATACCTCATCAGAAAAAATACGCTAAGGGTTAGAACAGTGCACACAGCATCTGATTCTGAGTAGTCAGTATTGTAACCTGGCTAATTCCACAGCTTGTCAACCTTTCTGTTACCCCTCACCATATAAAAAAAAAAGCTGTTGACTTCCCAGGAACCCTTTTACAACTATCTCCTGATCTCCTCAGAAATCTTCCTAAAGACCAAGGAACTAAAAACTGGGCTGCCTCTTCTCATTTTGACATGCTGGCCTCTGTCAAAATATATTTCAAGGAAACATTCCTTTAACTTTCTTTCTGCCACAATTTAAAAATAAAATGAAACAAAAAGCAGAAGCTTTTTTCTTTTAAAAGCACCAGTGATGGAAGAAAACCAAATTACAGGCTCTAAAGACAACCCTCTGTCTGCATCTACTGGAAATGCTTGGTAGGATGGAAACTCCCATCAAACTTTTTATTCAGTGGTGGCAACTAGAGACGGTATTGGTTTTTGTACCAGGCATTTATATTTCATTAGTTTATATACTGTTCCCAGGTGGGAGCTTGCTTTCTGATGTCTGATTGAAAGGCTTGCCTTAGGAAGGGATGTGATTTACAGATACACACTGGAAAGCAAATTGACCTTGGCACAATGATGGGAGATGTGGAATTCCTTCGACAGCAAGAGCAGCAAACTTGTCAAGCCTCCCACGAGAGCATGGC